TCGATTTTTTCCAACACTGCTTTGTGTTGTGGGCTCATCGTACCCTCTCCCTGCCCGAGCTCTGGCTGGAACCAGCCATTTCGATCTGAGGACTAGTTGTGCTACATGCTGTAGGATGTCGTTGCTTCCAGTCCCTTTCATTAGACAGAACTAGGATGTCTGTGTGTGTGTATTTATGAATGTGTGTACATTTTAGTCACAAGTTCACAGCGAAAAATCGAATCCCAATCCAACACCACGGAGTTCTTCATTGCCTTCTTCCATTTCTTATTTTTATACCCTTTCTCCCTCAGTTAAAACCCAAGATTCCCAAATATCTATAAATTTACTCATTTGCCCAATCCTACAATAGAGACAAAATAGTTTCAGAATTGCTATGTCTCATTTTTACTACTATAAGTAATAGATTATTATACAGGGTTCAAGATTTTTTTGAAAGTCCTTTTTATCTTTAGATTAAAGGTGTATATATAGTCAAAGTCCCATGTTAGAAACAACTTGGACTCATTTTTTTCCCTGAGAATTAATATTATACATTGAAAGACATTTGGTTCATTTGTTGCTGTTTGTATTCAGTTTGCAGGGGGTCATTTCCCCACCCAACCTAGTTAATTTTATTTTTGAACATATAAAACACTGAGAAGTTTCCAAAACTCAAAACTATACAAAAAGGTTTCATCAGAGCCATTCCCTCCATTTCCCTTTTTTTAGTTGCTACCCATCTCCAACTATTGGGTTGGCCAAAAAGTTCATTTAGTTTTTTCCGTATGATGGCTCTAGTAGTGCTCAGTTGTCTTTAACTTCATTCAAAACAATTTTGTTAGGTTGCACTGTGACAGCTGTCATAGCGAACATTTTTTTTAAAAATTATCAAAACTACTGGATTTTTGTGCATCCATTTTAATATTGAAGATGGTAGACAATAAGTAACATTTTGGTGTATTATGCTTTACTATTTTAAGAAAGGTAACAACACAACTGAAATGCAAAATGAGATTTGTGCAGTGTATGGAGAAAGTGCTATGACTGATCAAATGTGTCAGAAGTGGTTTGAGAAGTTTCTTGGTACTACTGACATTGTGGCCAAATAATTCTTTGCTGTGGGACTGTTTTATGCATTGGAAGATTGTTAGCAGCACCTCTAACCTCTACCCATTAGAAGCCAATAGCGGAAGACAGCCAATATACTCAAAATATCCAAGTCATAAAGTTATTGGTGAAAATGAAAAATTTGTCTTTTATTCTATGGAAAAAACATAATGGATCTTTTGGCCAATCCAATAGTTTCTGGCAATCAGTCCTATATTTACTTTCATTCTATGAAAAAAAAACTATGCTTTCCACATGTGGAGCAGAGAAATGGGGCAGGATCAAGAAAGAATCTTATTTAAGATGAGAGACAGCCCTGGCCAGGTGGCTCAGTTGCTTGGAGCGTCATCTCATTAACCAAAAGATTTTGGGTTCAATCCCTGGTCAGGGATATACAGGAGGCAACTGATTGATGTTTCTCTCTGACATCAATGTTTCTCCCCCTTCCCTTCTTCTCTCTCTAAAATCAAATTAAAAATATCCTTGGGTGAGGATTTAAAAAAAATAGATGGAAGCCATAACTGAACATTTGTATAATAATGTAAATGATTCCACAAAAACTGACGTTGAAGCTGCAAGAGGGATGGGAGAATTACAGGGAGGAATGGCTATCAAAATATCTTCTGGTTTAATTTGAGGGATATCAAAGGGTTACAAAATTCCAAAATAGATTATCATCCTGTCTGTAATAGTCCCAATTAGTTATATCTGTGGCTCTAGAGAACCCACACTGAAATGGGGTTATTATTTTGGAAGGGTAATTGAACTACCACTACCTACCACTAATATCATTAAAAAATTTTGCCATAGCAAGAGGGAGGTTTTGAAGTCTGAGCTAGACATTTAACCAGGAATAAATAAACAGACAAGAGGAGAATGGCTGATGTGAGGATCTGTGTAATAACACAGATGAATAGCAATGATCATGCTGGAAAAACAAACCCACATTTCTAACATGTCTTGGAAAAGACATTGTATTACAAATATGCTAATAACTTATGCTAGTAATTGAGGACCATTCCTCATGCCCTGGCTCTAAGTCAGTGTGGCACAGAGAACATGGACTCCAGGGATGGAGAGGTCTGGCCTTGAATCCCAACTGAGTTACTGAACTACATGACCACCGGCACAGCTCAGAGGTGGCCTCCTTACCTATAGAAGTGTGTAACGCCTCCTCTGCCAAGTCAATGTGAGATATAAATAGAATAACGTATAGTATGGCCCCTGACCCAGATGTTCAATAGACAGATGTTCCTATAATGAATGCAGAATAAACTAGTTAGCAAGCTAAAGAAACTAATCACACAGTGAACTTCAATATGTGCCTGAAAGAAATCAGAGAAATCACACCATCCCAGGCAGTATTTGGTAAGGGCAGAAAAATGTCTAACTTTTACTTGCAATTCTCAATTTTCAAAATGTCCCAGAGACTATTTATAAAGTGTAAAAATATGTGCTGACATACTAAAGTGCCAATGACTTAAAAGAAACAGTTCTAGGGAGATGTCAATTAAATGGTACAAAATTCCAGTTAGGAGATGAATAAGTTCTGGGAGTCTGAGGTACAGCATGGTGACTATGGTTAACAATATTCTATTGCATGATTGAGAGTTACTAAGAGAGTAATCTTAATATATTCTAAATGCCCTCAGCATCCCACCAAATGTGATAATTTGGTGAGATAATGAATGTGTTAACCTTATTGTGGTAATCATTCTGCAATATATATGTGTATCAAATTATCACATTGTACATCTTAAATGTAGACAATGTTATATGTCAATTATACCTCAATAAAGCTGAAAAATTACTAAAAGAAGCAATTCTTCAGGTTAACAAAGAGAAATGACTCAGAATAACCTCCCCCCCCCAATAACCTCTTAAGTAATACCTATGGCTTACAAAGACATAAATCTAAATATATTACAGCCATATGAACCAATTTTATAATTTTACAAATGTGCGCACACAAGAGAGTTAACCATGTTCAGAAAAAAAATGTTTTAAAAGTTTCTATTTCAGTTCCATATTCATCTACAAACCAAAATGTAACAAAGAAATCTTAAAATGATCTTTAACCAAATACTGAAATATACAATAAACTTTCAGACCTGTGGATCAAAAAAAAAAAAAGAGCTCTGTAATAAATGTAACTGAAGATAACCTCACAGAATGATCTGATCAGAAATTCCTGACTGGGCAGGTCATGATAGGTAGTTACACCTCAGGGCTGTGATTGCCCAAGTGAAAGGTCATCTCCGTCTCAAGCAAGCCCTGGCCATTGTTCTTGTGCATCTAGGTTAACACACCTTTGAAATGCCTTTTTCAGACGCCCTCAAGAGCACACATAACCTTGTTTAACTATCCTGCAATCCAGCAATTTTCAACTGGTGTGCCCCAAGAATTTTTAAAAACTTACAATACCTGACTATTCGATCAAGGGCACTGACCTCTTTCCCCTTAGACCGTCAAATTTTTAAATGACAACAGCCAACATAACAATAGCTGTCCAGTGTGAATGAATCAAAATTATACCTATGTTTTGTTAGATCAGCACAAATACATATTTTTTTTTGGTGTGCCACAGAATTTTCTTAATTATTTTGTGTGTGCCATGAGAGGAAAAGGCTGAAAGCCTCTGTTGTAATCCAGTCACAGTGATTTCCCTGCCTTGCTTTCTTCCACAGGTTCCTTAGTTCCCTCCTTAATTCCAAATGTATAAAAGAAACTGCAAAAACGTAATTCTCCAGAAGCATTTGACATCTTGCTTCCCCACACGTAGTCAATTTGGCTCAAATAAACTCATAATTCTCTACAGCTTTGGACATTCTTATGTCGACAGGGCCTAACATCAGTAATAACCCCAAAGCCTCACACTGAAGTCTTACACTGTGCCTGGCAGAGACTCAAGGCATGCAATCCTGTGTATACAGACCTTTGTTTCCCTCCTGACTAGAAATCACTTCGCTTTCATCTTAAATAAGCAGTGTGTGCTCCATCTCTATTCTACAAGATGTACTTAAAGGTCACCATCTCAGTTTACAACACTAAAATGGGCTGATACTCCCAGATCTAATCAACAATTAAATGTCTTAAGAAAACTTCCCAGTAGGGTGCTAATCCACAAGCTGCCTGTTTTGCCAGTGGCGGAGAGGCAGGCAGATGCAGCCACATCCTTTACTAAAAGAGAAAAGGAGTGGAGAAAGGGGAAGAGAGATGCGAAATAACAATGCATTGCTTCTGTAAACAAATGAACATCTGCTTTTAAGCTCTTAGAAAGTCAATCTTCCCTTACCATATAGCCAAAAATTTCAAAATATAAGCCAATCAACTGTGTTTTGCAGCAGAAAAAGAATGTGAGGATTAAGGGAAAACATTTTATTATGTACTGAATTCACGAGTGTTTGAAATCCATTAATTTCACCCAACCACTCCCAAAATGCGAAGGCATCTTATCGTTTCCAAAATAAATTTAACACGAAACCACTGGGCTCATTTTTAGTACTCAGAGAACTTTTCTGAGCTTTCACAGCACTCTCCACCCAATAACCCTGTCTGGGCAACCCCAGACAACCGCTATTTTCAGAACGATCTCTCATTCTGCCCCAGGAAGGTTGGGTTCGGGGCGTCGAGAGAAACCTGGGGGTCACGAAGCTAGGGCTATGGACCGTCCCCTCGCTGGAGCAGAGCGCGACTCGGGCGCGCCCGTCCCGTCCCTCCCCGGCAGGGTCTACGGCTCAGAGCTCCGGTCTCTGATTCAGGAGGAGCCCAGCTGGCCCCGCGCCGCTCCCCAGGCCCGGCCAGGTTCTGGCGGGGCGGCCCTGCGACGCCTCACGCCCCCAGAGCGAAGCCCGCGATCCCCCGGCGGGGCGCACCGACGCGCCGCTGCTCGCCGCTCAATCGCCGCCTACCTGGAGTGAGCTCCGGCCGCCGTCGACCTGGCGCTGCCCGAGTCCGCTGGGCGCTCAGCAGCCCCAGGCGCGTGGAGCTGGCGTGCAGAGCGCGGAGCACCGCTGAGACCAGTGCCGCGGAGATCCGCCGGCCACACCCAGGCCGGCGCTGCTCAGCTGCCAACTCTGCCGCGCGCGGGGGCCGGGCGGGGACGTGGCTCGAAGCGCGAGGCGCGAGGCACGAGGCGCGCGGAACCGGCGCGAACGCGCTGCGGGCGGGCGCGAGCAAGCCCTGGAGCGAGCGCGGGGCCTGGGTGGGGGGCGAAGGGAGAGGACGCAGAGCGCAGCTTCTGCTTCCTATTTTTTGTCTCGTTTCCTGCCAGAAGAAGAAAAACATGAATTCCCGGGCAGTTTCGTTTTCTTGTCGGCGTGGCGCCTGGACGCCGGCACACACTTTTGAGTAGGGCCCAAGTGGTGTGGCCAGTTTCCTTCCTGGTACCGCATGAGCCTCAGTTGGCCCGTGGGCAGGATAGGGGGCTGGCTTAGAAGACCCCAAGGTCTCATTTAGATTTACCATTATGAAATTGTAAATGTAAGAAAGTAAGCTGAAGTCCACAGTTACACAAAATTGCATTGCAATCCCAGGTCTACCGTCGCTATTTGTGCGACTGAACTGTCGTCAGGACCTCCATTTCCTGGTTGAAAAATAGGGGAAATGGTATCTGCCTGATACAGGTGCTAAAATATTTAATGAGATAACATTTACACAAGAGCCTTCCTCTGAATAAACGAATACTTGGAAGTTATTCCTCACTACTGTCACCGATGAGAGCAGGCCTTTCAGATGACCCTGTCACGTCGCTCTTCTCTGCCTTAAACATCCTAGGCTTCTCAACCGGCCTGCTTTTTCTCACATTTGTCTGGGTATTTGATGTCTAAAATGTCATAAAGTGAATGCATCTACCCAATTTACTTGCTCTGAAGTCAGTACACGCCGAGGGAGCAGTTTTCCTTTCTCCACCCCCATTTTTCTTCTGAGTTAATTTCAGTTTTGACAGACTGTTGCTATAGCATTCCTTCTCTGACGTCAAACAATTTAAAGAAATAGCCCTGGGTAAGGAAAACTGCAGAGGAGCTCTTTGTGGAGTTTCTGTGCTGGAGAAAGACTTGAAGGATATGGTAAGTGAACTTGAACCCCTCCGCAGCCTTCCATTCCTTCTTCAGCAGTTTTCCATTATCACCTGGAATAAATCTCTCGGCGCCTTAAAAGAGATGATGCCATGATAAACACACTCTGATGGCAACTGTGAAAAAAAGTGACCGTTTTGGAAAGAGTCGTGGGGCTAAAGTGTTGAAATTATAGGTAGCTTTCTCACAAATTTTCACTTTCCCTAAGGTGTGCTGCTTTTTTTCCATTAAGAAGAAAGGGGGGAAAGTCCCAAATCTTCTACATATCAAGTGTCAGAAAAGTTTATTGGTATCTGAGTGGTTTGGATTTATAACTGTTTTAATGATTAAATCCTGAGCGTTATCATTGCCATTTTTAGGAAGAAGCAAAGGGAAATTGTTATTTAATGAGTGTCTATTAAGCACCAGTTCCCTGTCTTTCTCTTACCGAGCTTAACTTAATTCTCATAATGACTTTTCAATGTGTGTTGTATCCCCATCTTACAGATAAGGAAACTGAGTGATTTATCTAAAATTGCATAGGGAGTGGCAGAGCTTAATGTGGGACCCAAACTGGATTGACTCCAAAGTTCACTTTAGATTCTTTCTGTCTTGCTCTTGGGTACTGATCCTTAACAGATATTGTAGGGTTTTGAGAAGTGGTCAGGTTAGATTATTAGCTGAAAACTAAGTTGCTGGTATTTAGGAAAATCCAGTGGAAAGTACTGAAATGTTCTATTCTAGAGAAGATTAGGGGAAATATAAATCAAGAGCTTCTAAACAGAAAAACTTGAAAAGATCTAACAAGAAGTTTACTGATCTTTGAAGATTTGAGAATAAAGTACACAAAACAATGACCTTAACCTTCTTGAAAATTTTATGTGGACAGAAAAATTTCTGTGATAAAAAAAGTCCAACTACAAAAAAGGAAAGTTTAAATATTATCCAAACTAGTCCATTTCTTAGAGTATTATTACATTTCTGTTTTGCCACATCTGCTGCATATTTTTCTGAAAAGAACACTTTGTTAAAGGATGAGCCTGTGTTTCAAAAAATCTGAAAGCGGAGACGATGAAAAGAGTTTCATTCCCAGGAATAATTTCCTAACATCACAGTAATGTATCTAAGTGATGCAGCAATTAGTAATTTTTTCAAAGGATAATGTCATGAATGTAGAAAAAAAAGGAGAGAGAGAGAGAGAAGGAAGGACATGCTATTAATATTTCTGAAGACTGCTGATTTGTGTAGACGATTGTAGTGACATATCCTGCTTCTAATGATTAAACCCAAGGTTCTAATGTTTGGGTGCCACTGGACAATATTTAGATTTCTGAGTCATTACCTAGACTCATGTTCTCAAATTGTATTCTATTCAGAAAGGATGGTAGCATTCCTTTGAAGACAAAATCTCTGCCTGTTTCATCTTTGTACTCCCCATACTGTTTAACAGAATACTTAGACATAGTAGTTACTTAGTGAATGAACAAATGAACGAATGAATGCACTTGGTTATTTATCTTACACGAATAATCTCCATTGCCTAACTCCATCCATGCCCTACTCAGAATCCAAGAAAGGGGACAACAATCATTACAGATGCAGTTACTACTGCAGTGTTTTGCTCTCCTATGATGTAGTTCACAGGAGCTCAGCTCTTGGTCTTGTATTAGATAAGTCTGAATCCTGTTCTCAGTGAGTTACCCTAAAATCCACAATGCCACAGGTTTGTAACCTCTGCTTTTAAATCATACCCTAGAAATAGTCTATTTTTTTTCTGAGCCTACTTTGCTCTGCGACAATGCCAAGTGCATTATGAAGAATAGAACCACCGAAATGTACAATTTTTCCGTACTGCCCTGTTGTACATGTTCCAATTCTATTGTACTCAAGATGAGGCCAAACTATTTACACACAACATTAGAACTAAAGTAAAGGTTTTCTTTCAACTACAACAAAATAAGTTTAAAAATACTAAACGGAAATTGTCTGATAGGATCTAGAGCAGAGTTCCACGAGGATGTGAGAAGCGATTCCTAAGCAGATTCTGTAAGAAATTTGTGAGGTTTTTTTCAGACAACTTTATCCTGAGCAGTCCTGTCTAAAGCCCTCCCTCTTGCTTGTGCACATTGCATTTTGATATTATATCATTTTATAGTTTATATTTTGGGCCCACCTTTGCTGTGTTCTTCTGACACTCCTGATAACAAGTCAGTGATAGCATCTTTCTTGCATGTTTCTATTCAGGGTCTCTAACTGCAATTTGGGTCTAATTATCTACGTGCGCATCAGTGACCTTAGGAGAGTGCTGTATTTAACTAATGATGTATGTCGCCGGCATGGGAGGAGGAAATAGAAACACCCAGGCATATACTGGCTGTTCTAGGTCCTGTGATTCAGGTCTCTGGAATCTGTTATCGGGAAGGGACAGGCAAAGTGAAAAGAATACTAAACTGCAATCAAAAGTTCAGATTTAGATCTTTAGCTCTGGTACTAAATATCTGTCTGACCTTGGGAAGGTCACACACCATCTGAATTTTGTCTTGTTCAATATCTAAAATGAGAGTTCTGGATTCTAACAGGATTGGCAGATATCACTAATGCCAACACTTAATACTATGCCCAGTGTCTAACTTCTTTAATCAATCACATAATCTTTTCCTTTAAGACTCATCCTGTCCCAAGAATTCTTTTGAACAAACCAGGAAGGCACTCTGATTTTGGTGTTGATAAGTGAGTAAATGGATTATGTTAGCTATCTATTGCTGTGTAACACACCACCCCAAAACATAGCAGATTAGAATAACAGCATTCATTTCCTTTGCTCATAACAGCCAAGTTTGGCAGGGCTTGGCAGACACACTCTTCTCTGCCCCAGGCAATGTCATGTCAGCTAGTTTGACTCAGCTTTCAAAAGGGCTTGCTCAGATGGCTGGCTTTTGGTTGGGAGATCAGCCAGGGCTGTGGACAGAGACCTCCATGAACCTTCACATAGACCTTTCCACAGGTTACTTGAAAGTCCTCATACTATAGTGTCTGGGTTCCAAGAACAAGTGTTCTAAGGGAACAAGTAGGAGGTACATTACATTCTTATGATTTAGCCTCAGGAAGCTCACATCATAGCTTCTACCATACACTCTTGGTCTTGGCAGTCACAAATTCAAAGATAGGGACACCAATCTCTTGATGGAGGGGTAGCAGGGTTCCTGGAGAGCATGAAGGCTGATGCGTATTGTTGCAGCCATGTTGGAAGTACAATCTGCCACAAGCATATTCACTAACCCATTTTTCACTGAATTAATCAGTGGATCTATATACTAACTTAAGATTCTGTTTTTCCATTTCTTCATCCCATTTAGCATTGACTTTGTTTCTTTTTGCTGATGTTCTCTGTCAGATATTTCAAACAATGGAAAATGTCTTGCTTTCCTTCCTAATTTGTTGGGCTTTTTTTTACTTTGCCTTCTTTTTGGAATTTTAATATTCGTAATTATCATACTGTAAACATGACTTCATTTTTTTTTGGTGTATGGTTCTGATTCTATTTATTTTTATTTTTTGATGGCAGAATTTTGTGATTTTATCAACACAAACACAGCATGCACACAAGCTGTCTATTCATTTCCTTCTCTGTACAGCCTGGCATTGGGGTTAGTGACTCTGATGGCCAGCTGGGCTTCTCTGCCCGTGATGGCTTTGCGGTTCTTCAAGGAGACATTGTGAGCAATCTCAGCACAGTGAGATTTGTTGCACATCAGCAGCACTTCAAGCTCCTTGACGGTGTGGACCAGGAACTTCTGAAGGCCACTTGGCAACATGTGCTTTGTTTTCTTGTTGCCCCTGTAACCAGTGTTGGGCTTCAAGATCTGACCCTTGAATCTCCACTGCATCCAACTATCAATGCCTCAGGATTTCCACCAGTTACATTTCATTTTGGCATGGGTCTGAGTGGTACCTGATTAACTTCTTGGTCTTCTTTTTTTTACTATCTTGAGCTTCAAAAGGGGTCAACCACGATGCCTTTGAGAAAGAGACAGACTGTGAAACAGAGTCCTGGAAAGAGGCCTTCCTGCCAGGGCTTGAACGTTGTGGCAGAGTGTCTTCCAATTACCAGCTACTGAGCACACAGTGAATGGGATGGGTACCTCTGCCAG